CCCCCTTCTATCTTTTGCTGTCTTTGCTGCCTTTCAATGCTGCCTGCTAGACACCGAGCAGTCCCACTCATGCGGATGGCCTTCTGCCACTTGTCCCACAGAAAGACCCTCCTCCTTACACCCAGTCAAAAGCCAAACCCCAGTGACACGAAGGAGCAAAAGCTGCTTTTACCATGATTTGTGTGTGGCTGCCAACCCCACATGGAGCACAGTGTGTGAGGCATCACCGCTGCTCCTGTGAAGCACGTTCACACCTTCCATTGACACACATTGAGGAAACATGATGATTGTCCTTCTTCCACGTAGCAGGCTTACAACAACCACCTGTCCTCTTTATCTGATATTTTGCTTTGCTCTTAGTTCAGTGTTTCTCCATTTAGTGTCCTGGCACCCTGATGATAGCCTGGGATATTTTAGCTTTGATGCCTGTTCCAACCTGTGCTTCCTCCACAGGCAGAACTTCCCCTTTCCTTTGGGAACTGTAAACGTTGTGTGGCTACTCATCATTATGGAAAACTGGAAGCTCCAGAACAACATTTCCCAATATTTTTGGAGGCAATCCTGTTGTTCTGGCAAATATCCAGTAACAATCCATGTACCAACATGTCTTTATTAACAGTGGGGAGCTTTTGCACTTCTTAACCTTACAGCATTGCCTTAAAAGCATCCTGGGCAGTGCAGGTAAAGCTTGTCACCTTGTGATGGCTGGTGAGTGACAGATGTGACTTGAGGAGTGGGATATTGGCCACTGTGTCAGACAGCTCAATCCCATAGCTGATGCAAACATGTCTCACGGCTGCTGATGTCAGCAGAAACCTCCAGTGTGCACTGGGCACTGGAGGTCAGCCTTGCTTTTGGGTGACTCAGTGGCAGGAGATTTGTGTTGCATCACAGAACGTTCAGTGTCCAGAGCTGACACTGTCTGGGCCAGAAGATCACATACTACAGAGCCACCCTCTGTATTGCCCAGACCGAGTGCCCTTTCTGCTTACCCCAGGCAGAGATCATTCTCAGCTGGAATGATTTCAGAGCAGAAATGTGCAGTGTGCTGTCTGAAACTCTCAGCTCCTCTGTGCAGAGAATCAAGGCTGTTTCTTGGTTTTGCACTTACACTCTGAAGGCTTTTCAGGACAGAACAAAGGTGGAGGAATATCAGCATTCAGGATATATCTGGATAGCTCAGTCCCCACCAGCCAGAAAACCTCCAGAAAGATTTGTGAGAACAACCCGTATGTATATGTTGTATGAGCTCTCAGAGAATAAACCTTCATAAAACTGTGATCAGCTACCTTCTGTGTAAAATCAGAGGCTAAACCCACAGCAGATCTCTTGAGGTTGGTTGAGACTCATCTCTTTTTATACAAAGGCCATAGTTTCACAACAGCGTCCAAACAGTGTGAGCCAGTGCTCCTGTTGAAAGGATATGACCCAACTGCTTGCTTCTGCCCCATACTGTCCTTTCCCTTGGACATGCTTCAATCTTATATATGCTGACCCCAGTCAGGGGGCTGGTTCAAGTTAAACCCAATTCCTTGCTTCCAGATTGCTCTGAGAGCAGCAGCACAGACAACAGCAATGACACTGGCAGGGTGGAGGCCAGAGTGCAAGGGGCAGTGGGACATCTGCTTTCAGTAGCAACACTGGTTTATGCTGGTTAAAATGACTGTGAAACTATGGAAGAATTTTCAGCATCTACAGTTCAGGATAATCGTGACCACAAAATTGCACATGGCTCAAACCTTTTTCTTCTCCAAAATCTTTTTTTATCTGGAGTCATTTATGCCACTTTGAGGATTAAATTGGAAGGCTCAAACTGGAAATTATTTCTAGGCTGTTTTCTGGAGCAGAGGCTATCCACAAAGTGAAGCTGTAAAGGTCACACTTTTATGAACAGCTGTGAGTCACCTGCATTTGCACTGGAGGGTGCAATGCAATTCCCTTGGTTGTTTTCATTCTGATGGCAATTCCACCAAAATGTAATTTCTGCAGGAGTCCTCAGCACATTCCTGATTTGGGAAGATCAGGGATCTGCTTCAGAAGCTGTGTGAATGGCTGCACCAGTGCTTCTACAAGGCTAAATCTACTGAAAAAAAATCCAAGCATAGAGCAATACAAGAGATCTGCACTCTGTGTTTATGATCACACAGCCTTTTGCACTGTGTTCCCCGTTGCTTATCCACGCTCCCAGGCCCCTCTGCTCAGGAGTTATTTCTGTGTAGTGGTCTGAGAACAGAGCCAGGGAGCTGTACGTGATCCCAGCCTTAACACCCATTAGGCACACAGCCTGGGGTGAGTGAGGCACGTTCCTGGGTCTGTGCTCCATGCTGGTGAATAGAGATGATCATCTCTTAATGCACATGAGGCTGTGAAGTCCACCTCAGGATGGTACCAAGTGTTTTCTGAGAGGTAGCTTAGCCTGATGGGTTCCTAACGCTCAGCTCCTCTTTCAGTGTGCACGTGTTGCTCAGTATGCCGACTCCTCAGAGGTGAGTGCTGGATTTCCTGCACCCTGATACCCGCGCATCCCTTCCGGGCATGGCTGCGTTCCCCAGCCTGGCTTGCTCCTGCCACTCCTACTCACTGGGTTTCCTAACACCAGGGGAACAAACCAGGCGAAGGCCAGGCTGCGTGTGGATTTGTGAGCTGTGTGTGTGCTGATGGCAAGTACTGTGATGCTTCTCACCTTACTGACCTGTGTTAGCCAAGGCTGGGGAGTGTTTCTCTGGAGAAAAACCTCGGTCCTTTCTGTTCTAGAAGATGTGCCATTGTCCCTGTTCCTGCTTAGGAAGAAATTCTTTGCTGTGAGGGTGGTCAGACACTGGAACAGGTTGCCCAGAGAAGCTGTGGCTGCTCCTCCCTGGAAGTGTTCCAGGCCAGGCTGGATGAGGCTTTGAGCAACCTGGTCTAGTGGAAGGTGTCCCTGCTGATGGCAGGGGGGTTGGAACTGGATGATCTTTAAGGTCCCTTCCAACACAAACCATTATATGATTCTGTGATTCTATGGTTCTTGTCGTAGTGACTCCTGCCCTGTATCCCCCAGCACTAGTTAAAAACCTCAGGGAAACCAGCAAGATCAAACCTTCCTCAGTCCCAGCCCTGTTTTGCTCTGTTCCCTAAGGATTGGCATGTATTTCTTTGTTGGTGGAGAGGACACTTTTGTTTGGGATGAGCTGGATAAATAAAAAAGCCTGGTAGCAGACCCTGGTACAATGAAATAGGGTTGAAGAGACTCTCTCTGCTTCAGTCTGTGCTAGAGCCATTTTTTAAAATGTCCCACTGTCCCCAGTGTTGCTCGTGTTTACAAACTTAGGAGTGTAGTGAACGGTTTAGCTGCCGGTGCTCTTTTCAGTGCTGTGAGAATGAGCTGGTTGCTAAGAGCTGAGCTGCATCACTTCTGCATTTTGTCCCAGTGGCAGATGAAAGGAGAGGGAGGCCTCTGATTTGGGCATGCCAGAGGATGGGCCTGCCAAGCAGCTTGTCTGGGGAGAGAGAAGAAATCCAGGCTGGCAGTGTCTCATATTAGTGGATGCAAAAAGACATTTGTAACTCCTTTACTTCTCATCTCATGTGCTTTTTATTTATTTTGCACACTGCAATCAACCTGGGGATGGCAACAGAGGGACTGAAGGCTCACAGTGCTGTCACAGTGCTGCAGCCATTGCTGCTGGCTGTGTCGCCTGGAGATGTTCCTTCCCACTGCCTTGCACCTGACGTGCCATGCAGTCCTGTGCACCATTAGTGCTTGGAGGCTGGTGATCCCAGCCTGGCACTGTCTCCTTGCACCCTGCATAGGTGGCAAACTAACCCTTGTACTTGGTTTGTCACCTTCCCTGTTGTCCTTTTCTGGTTCTTTGCACTAGCACGTTTGGGGTGAGTGTGCCACTGTGCAGGAGGATGAAGCCCCTTTAAGGTGGTATCTGTTTAAACAATCATGAAACACTTGTATTCACAGTGCATTTTATTAGCACCCTTCTAATTTTAGCCTAAACCGATTTTATGGATTTGACTTCAAAGTGTTATTTATAAAAGAAATCACTGAATCCTGAAGTGCTTAATAGTCATGAGTTAATCTCAGGAGAGTCATTTAATGATGCTAAAGCAGTAATCAGTCCAATATGTTTACAAATTTGGCCCAAAGTCATGTTGGTCTGATTTAAATTTCATGCCCTGTCTTTCAGATTGGCTTGTTTTACTATTTTTTTTCGCCTGACATAACCCATTCCCTTGGACCATGTCAATAGGGACATGCTGAGGCTCTATCTCATAGGGGGTTCATTCTGTCTCTGCAGGCTGCCCTTTCTCTGTCTCCAAGGCAATAGATGCATTAATGCACTCTCAGACAACGGCCTGCCGTTAAAATGCTCCTTTGTAAGTGCAGCTTTGGGAGCTTAGGGAGCTGACTACGTCATGTGAACACATTTTCTCAAGGCCACAAAAAGCAGGGAGAAGAAAGAAGCTAAGTTTGTTTAGCAAGGACTGAGTTGTCCTGAACTATTGGCACTCATCTTTCCTTGGTGCAAACCTTTGTGTCGCCAGTTTCAGAGTACAATCGCTAACAGTACTCATCTCCAAAGAGTTTATAATCTAAATGGGTAGATAGTCAAGCCTTACCTCAAGCAGGAATATTAAAGGCTGGTTTAGAGCCATGGTGGAGCCTTTTAGGCAAGAGCAGTTGCCTTAATGCTCTTGCGGTGAAACTCTCACACTGCCTGACTCATAGGAACCCCCATAGCTTTGAGGAGAGCACAGGCTGGTGGGAGCAAAAGTCTACCTGTCCTGCTTCCTAAATGATATCCTGAGAGAAGGTTTCATGAGGATGTGGCCTGCAGGTGTCATGCAGAGACTGAAGGCCAGGATGGGTGCAGCATGTGTGCAGCCCCAGTTCTGGGGCCACCAACACAAGAAGGACGTGGACCTGGGGTGAGTCCAGAGGAGGCCACGAGGATTATCCGAGGTCTGGAGCAGCTCTGCTGTGAGGACAGGCTGAGAGAGTTGGGGCTGTTCAGCCTGGAGAAGAGAAGGCTCCAGGGAGACCTTCTAGTGGCCTCCCAGTACCTGAAGGGGCTCCAGGAAGGGTGGGGAGGGACTTTGGCCAAGGGCAGGGAGTGACAGAACAAGGGGTGATGGCTTTAAACTGGAAGAGGGGAGATTGAGATGAGATCTGAGGAATAAATTCTTTGGTGTGAGGGTGGTGAGACAGTGTCCCAGGTTGGCCAGAGAAGCTGTGGCAGCTCCTCCCTGGAAGTGTTCAAGGCCAGGTTGGATGAGGCTTTGAGCAACCTGGTCTAGTGGAAGGTGTCCCTGCTGATGGCAGGGGGGTTGGAACTGGGTGATCTTTAAGGTCCCTTCCAACCCAAACCATTCTATGAGCTCACCCTGTGCAGAAGCAGATCCATCACTGACAGCAGTGGTGGGCTCCACTGCTGCTGAAGCTGTTTGCTTCACAGAAGAGCTCTTTCCTTGGCTCACTCCAGCTGGCCTCACAGTCTGCACATGACACAAGCATTGACACAATTCAGGACATTCATCCTTGGCTCTGGGAAGCATCACTAAATGCAAGCATGTTCCACTATATATTCTCCACCATGTCTTCTTGACAGCTTCAGTGCCAGCTCTTCTTGCTCTTGCTCAGTGGCAGGCCTTTGCTGGCAAAACTCCTCCCAGGTCTTTACATAAGTTTGTGATTTATCTCTTCTATGTTCATGGCCTGCAGAATGTCAGGCTGCAGCGTTAGGGACCGAGGGTACAATTACATAAGGGCTCTTTTTACCCTTCAGGAAGGATGGAGTGCAAATCTCCAGGGATAGCTGCTTGTCTTTTGGCAGTGCCTGGTAAATACTTAAATGCATTAAACAAGCTTGCTTGGAACTGGCATTTAAGAAGTAACAAATATTATGTTTGGTGGTATTCTCTCAACTAACGTCTCGTAGGTGCTGTGGTATGGCTGAGAGGGAGGAATCATTTTAATCCTTGCAGAGAATAAATATTTCTAGCAGATACTGAAGAATCAGCTGTATATCAGAACTTTTGCTGCTGCATGTATTTGAGGGGGTATTTAATACTAAAATGCTGATCAGGAGCCTTAGGTAACGTATAAAATACGCAAGGACATCAGTGATGAATGGGACATTTTAGAGTGTGCACCTCAGGGTTGTGCTCCGTAGTGACAACGGATACAACAATGTACAGCTGAAAAACTACAGCCCGGCAGTGAGTGACGGTCAGCCTGGCCACCGTGTTTGGTCAGCCATCTACAAGGTGTTGCAGCATAAAGCCACCCCCTGGAGTTTTGCCAATAAAATAATGTTGGATCTTTTCCTGCATGTGATTGTCACCCTGAAGACAAGGTGACAGATCGCACACAATCAGCAGTACAGCTGACAATCACTTAATGGTGTTTTAAACAAATCACCTTATGGTGTATCACATGTGTCCAACCCCTTCTTTGTGGTAAGCTACAAATTGTGTATAAGATTATCACACGGGAAAGTACCCTTAAAAAACTAATTGATTTGCATCAAGGGGGCTGTTTATATTATCTCTGAACTAATTCAATTAAATGTTGTAGATGGTTTCATTTTAAGTTCCAGTACTTGAAGGGAGCTTATGAACAGGAGGGAGAGCGACTTTTTACATGGGCAGATAGTGACAGGACAAGGGGAAATGGTTTTAACCTAAGAGAGGGGAGGTTTAGGTCAGATATTAGGAGGAAAGTTTTCACCCAGAGGGTGGTGAGGCACTGGAACAGGTCGCCCAGAGAAGCTGTGAATGCCCCATCCCTGGAGACATTCAAGGCCAGGTTGGATGGGGCCCTGGGCAGCCTGATCTCGTGGTTGGCAACCCTGTCCACAGCAGGGGGGTTGGAACTGGATGATCTTTAAGGTCCTTTCTAACCCAAACCATTTTATGATTCTGTGATTTTTTTTCTTAGCCAGTTTTGCTTCAAGCTCTTGTGCTGGGGATTTACTGATCATTTTTTTAACCTTTCTCTCATTGAGCTGAACAAACAAGTGACAACTTTCTGTTGCTCAAGGCATTCTGTTCCTTCAAATTTCCCTTTACTAAATGTTGAATCAATTTTTTTCCACGAATGATTTGCATCACTTTGCAACAGTAACTCTGATGGCAATTTGGGAATTTCTCCATGTATTTAAAAATAGTTTCATAGTTATTTTGGTTGTTTCAGGGAAGGAAGAGTTTTAATAGAAAATAAGTAGATCGTTTAAGTACATTTGCATTTTGCCAATAGAAATTTAAAACATTAGTTGTTTAATAAACTCCAGTTGAACCACATCTATTATGAAAGCAAAGATGAAGATTTCTGTGCTCTGAAACAATGTTCCTTCCCCCTCTACACCCAGATGTTTTCCCCTAACAGTTTATTCTTTCCTTTTCTCTATGTAAATACTATGGGACTCTGATGTAAGTGTTACAGATTGCATGAGTTTTCTTCTGAGGTGTTTGGAATAGACTTAACAACTTAATCCTTTATGGGATGTGTTTTCATTAACGGATGACTTTGTTGATATGATTAGACTTGTTTGCTTTGGTTGCACTTGACTTCAGCTTTGGAAAGGACGTTTGTCTCTGTTTTGTGGCTACTTGGGCAGTGTGTGCTGGTGGAGTTGGCTGCTCCTAACTTTTTTGGTTTGGCAATGAAAACTGTTGGTGAAATACATGATGTGGGTCAATGTCTTTTGGAAATGATGGCAAATTTATCTTTGTTGCAGGGAAAAGAAGCTGATCGCCATTGTATAATAAATACCTGTTCTCCTGCTCGTATTCAGTGCTGTGCAAACCTCTTTATGTGAATTATCCTCTGGAGAGGCTTAGCTCTGGAGTGACTTTACCTTCCATTACAATAATACAATACCTTACTCCTGGCTTGTGTAGTCTGTGACTGTGGTTTTCCCCACTTCTCCCAAAGAATTACAGTGATGGGAGGAAGAAGTATTGTGCCCAGCAAAATAAGGGGGGGTCTACCTTCTCTCAAAGGTGTTGGGGTGCCTGATTCCTATTGTAACTGTATTTTAAGTGTCCAAATTTTTCAGAGGATCTAGATAAAAGTCATTTGCTTTTCTGTATTTAGAATGGGCCAGGTCCTGACCTCTCTTATAAAAATCTATAGGAGTTACTCCAGATTTACAAAGCAGTGTAGATCAGAGCCTGTATCAAAGCAATTGCTGAAAAAAACAGCCTGCTACTGAATCCCGTTTGTTGCTATAGAAAGAGTTTTGCAGTAAGATTTTTGAGCCCATATAGAGTCACAGAGACTAAAGATGACAATGATCTGGCCCCACATTCCCTTGCGTGTGCTGGGTTGTTCCCTGTGGTGCGTTTCATAGCCTAGATCCCAACCCTGTGTCCTTTAACTTGGAATACACCCAGCTTCAGAGCTTCACACACAAAGTGTTGGTTGTATCGGTTCCTTTTGAAGGAATTAGGATAGGATGGTGGGAATTGGAATTAAGGGGTCCTTTCCTTAGGCTGTTTGCAGTCAGATTCTGTCTCACTTTAGTGAAGAGAGGAGTATAATCTGGTCTGGATACTGAAAGATGTTTGCTAGTGGCAGCAGCAGCTTTTGCCCTGGCACACCAGTGGATTTCCTGTTTCTGCAGCGATTCTGCCCCTCCATGCAAAGGTCCAGAGCTGTAAATGTAAGAGGTGGAGACACCCGAAGCACAGCCCGCTCTGAGATAGGGAGTGAGAGTCTCCCAAAGATGAGAGAGCCAGGAGAGATGCCTGGTGTATGGTCCATGCTTTTACACAACCACCTCCTGGCTGTGACATGGTCCCTGGGGCTGTCAGCTGCTTCCCTGGAGCAGGACACACTGCTGGCTCTGCCACTTTGGGGACATCTGATAGTGGCCTGAGGCTCCACAGCCTCAGATCCTAAAGACGGCTCTCAGAAACACACAGGAGGTCACCTGAGGCCAAGTGCTGTCCTCAAGAAGCCTGTGCCAGGCCTGACAACATGTATTGCTCCTCAGTCTTCACCTTCTCCAGAAACAAACCTTGGTGTCCCAGAACCCATCCGTTCACTTTAAGCCTCCATCTATTTTCTCACTAATTCCTCACATGTGTGCTTATTATTCTAGTTAATCCCCTGCTTTATATTTTCTGCCGCAGAGGACTCACTCTCTTGGTGCAGGAAAATCAGTTTTTATCCTGTCATCACTCAGTTCACAAAAAAAAACCAACTTCAGAGTTGGCGCTCACCCAGCAGCAGCCCTTTGGAGATGAGTTGCCTCTGGTCCCACAACAGTGTAATGCTTCCACAAATGTGGGACAAAGTCTGGCACCACCCCGGATCAATACAAGGTTGGGATTGCCCACAATACAGATGTCCTTCCTGAGGTGGGATGGGCAGAGAATCCTCCCTTCTTGCTCAGGGTCTTAAAATAGAAGGCCCTGGGTATTCAATATGTGCTCTTGTCGATGGTTCTTTTCCAGTTCAGTGATGCTGAAGTGAAGCTGGTTCCCATTTGGCTGGTTTTTTGGTGCCTCATTCCCAATAAGATGGAGCCTGGGGAGAAGAGGACCTCAGTCCAATTTCCAGTGGACTTCAGGGGTCAAAGCAGTATGTGCCAGCTTGGAGGCTGAGCTCTCCTCTTGATCTTCATGGAAGCAGCTCCAGGATGTGGATGTGATGCTCAGGCTGATGGGGAGAGCGGCGGAGCCTGCAGGAGGCTGTGCCTCTGTTGTGCCTGTTGTGGAGATGGGCGAAGCGGGTGGCAGAGCTGCCTGGATATCTTTTTCACCCAGCACCCAATTCAAGAGATAAAATAATAACAGAGAAAGCAACATACACTGGAAAAGCATATGGGATTCCTGGAGTGTTGTCAGGGTTGACAGTTCCTTCTGTCTCCTTTTGCAGTAGCACAGCTGGCTCTAGGAGAAGGGGAGCAGGGCAGATTTTCCTGATCGTGTATGCTCTCAGCTTCAGCAGCCAGTGTCTCCACACTCTGGTCACTCAATGCTCTATTGCTGGTTCTCCAACACCCTCTGTCCTGTCCCATTCGATGTCCTCTTCTCCCTGGGGAAAGCCCTTGTCCCCTCGCACATGGCTGGAGATGTGTTGTTGGGACACTGTGCAAACTTCAGTGAAGCAGTTGAAAGAAGTCCTCACACACAACCTCCATAAAGTCCAGCCTGCAGTTCACATCTGAGGGACTTCTGGGGAAGAGGGCAGCTGGGAGCAGTCAGATGAATTGGTGTTGGGGGCAGTACTTGGCCTCCAGGCTGTAGATTTGGGCATGTTGGTTCAGGGTTATGCTCAAGCTCTGAATAAATTACATTTAAAACGAACTTTACTCCATTTTTCATTGGCTTAGAGGGGCACCAAGGACTGGCTCCCACATCAAAGATGACCTAAGCTAGGCTTGTCCTGGATATCTCACTTCCCAAGTGGAAGGATAAAATAGTAATTAAAATAAAATGTTCCTGTACTGATTTACCATGAGGTCTGGAGAACATTTAGTTCTTCCCATAGTGTAGTCTTAACACTACAGTCATATGTAGAAAAACCAGCATTCAGCATTATCCTGGGCCTCTCTGCAATGTGACTATCAGCGTTTTCAGTACAGCTGGGGAAAAAAAAATCAGCTTCCAGCTCTTCCTGGAAACCTGTGATGGTGTCTTCCAACCTGCCCATGCAAATGGTGATAAAGGGATAGAAACACAGGGTCAGTGGCCAGAGGATGGTGTGCACCACGCTCTCGAGCAGCAGCCGCATCCTGTGGGCTGAACGAAGGGGCTGAGAGCGTTTAGCTGCTGACTGGAATTTGGCACTGGAGAGAACCCCGGTGACGTGCTCGTGACTTGTGGTGTTGCTGTAGCCAGATCACTTTTCTTTTGTCTCTCTGTTACCCAGCTGAAAAAGCTGTTGGGAGAATTCAGTTCTTTTGTGCTTTAAGGATCTAAATGGATTAATAAGTATTAGATGTTTAAGAGTCTCTTTGGGTTTAGTCTTTGGGTTTTACTCTTTGGTCCAGCAGAGTCTTGCAGTCAGGCTGAGACAAGAAGCACAGAGCATTGTTTCTATGTATGTTTATACAACAGTCTAAGTATAGTGCCAATAATTGTGGTTAATGCCATCTAAACAGCAAACACTTCCACTCCTAACGTGTTTCAGAAGAAAAGAAGATTTACTCCAGAGTGACAGAAGACTTTTCCCTGCTCTGGTCTTGCAGCAACACACCCACTGCTGAGGGTCCGTTCAATGCCTGTTGAAGATTTTGGTTAACTTCAGTGACTCTTAGTCTGGGCTTGAGCTCCCTCAGCTTCAAGTCAGTTAGTTCTGCTGTGCTTCATATTTCTGCATCTCAGTCCTTGTATTGTCCAGAGGGCTTCAACACTCATTTGGTGTCTTCTAGAGGACACTACTGCTGGAAGCAGTAGATGCACTAACTGTGGTTGGAATCAGTGATTCAAGGAATCAGCTATTTTATTTATCCCTGAGCCAAACAAACAAACAAACAAATCTCTTTCTGAAGTCAAACTCCAGAACATCAGAGGCTGTGAATTTAGTCTCAGTTCTATGTAATATAATCCAAATACAGCTTGTATTGGCTTCATAAACAAGGTTCTTCTGATTTCTAACCCCACAGCTGCTATTACTAGAGTGTGATGTGTGAACCTTCTGCCTATTAATCCCTGGAAGATGCATGGCTTTGCAGTGAGGTGGCATTTGGCAGAGTGTGAATCAAACCATCGCTGATTTCCTCATCCTTTTTCTTCACATTTAGACTGTAAATGGCCTTGTTAAATAGGGGTGGACAATAAGTACGAAAAGCCACCTGAGACAAACTGTGAAACAAAAGGCTCTGTGTTCTCAGATGATGAAGAGAATGATTCATTGGATTGTGCATCCATGAACAAAAGGCCCAAAAAGAAGGATCAGCTCCTTGAGGTACTTCCATATTGTCAAGGCTCCTCTTTTTATGACATTCATTGAATCTTCAACTGAATTAACATCACTCTTTGGTCTAAAAACACTGATCCAAACAGTGCATTTCTGGTTTTTCAGGGGTGAGTCTTGCTATGGGTTCACTTACTTTTCCCCATGTGTTGATTTCCTGAAAGAAGTCTGAATTAGTGCCAGTGGAGATAAGTTATATAGGGCTTCAGAGTGGGATCAGAACTGCAAAACTTGGATCTAGCTCTAAACAACGTGCTGACATGGAGGGAGTTGGGTGAGAAGATCTGGATATCAACTGCAAGTTGATTTTTCATAGAGGAAAATGTGTTCTCACCCCCAAGGCAGGCTAGTTACTCTGAAAGCAGCCAGCACCCACAGCCAGAGCACCACAGTTCAGAGCTCAGTGTCTGTCACCTGAGATAGTTCACACCTAGCCAAACCCCACCAAAACCAGCGGCTGTTCTTCCTCATGACGTCGATAGGTTTTTGAATCAGGCACTGTATTAACAAATATGCTTTAAATTGCTTCAGGGAAAGGAAAGAACTAAAGGAGACACAGATCTCACACTGTGGTTTGACAAAACCAATTTGAGCAACATTTGTTGTGGAGGAAATAAAACCTCCATGGGAGATGCTGTAGGCAAAGACATCTTCCAGATCTGGGCAGGGAGGTGGAGCCACAGCCAGCAGCTCTCAGATTCCAGGCGGGAGATCTCCACCCTTCCCTTGGCTCAGTGTCAGGGAGTGGGAATGGTGTGGTTTGGTTGGCAGTTCTGTGTCCTTCTGGTGGGTTGTCCTACCTGTGGAGGGCTCTCATCAAAAGCTGGGCTGCTCTGTTCTTACCATGGAAGGATGCAGCCTCTGTAGCTGCCCTCAGAGCTGTCAAGTGGCATCTCAGAGACTGTTCATTCTTGATTTTAGAGTCTTTGCTGTGCAGTTAATGGCTGCTTTGCTCTAAGAACCATCTGGCTTCCCAAAGAGCAGCCTTCTCCCAGGCTGCAGGAGCTACTGCTCTAGTTGTCCAGCTGCATCCCAGGGCTCCTGGTTTACAGACAGTGACTCTGAGCCAGCAGTTACAGAGTCTGGTGTGGTGTGGGATCCCTGTTTGCCATACACAACAGCTTTCTTCCTCAGCTTTTCTCCTCCAGCTGTGCCCGTCTGGATGCAGCTGTCCCATCCAGATCTGTTGGGCTTTTAGGGATTCACAGTGAGGACTTGGGGTTGGAAGTTGGGATGGGGTGTTAGATTAATCCCATCTCTGTGAGAAACTACCTTGGTTTATGGGCAAGCTGGAAGAGATGGAGATTTAGATGGAGTCTAAACAAAACCTTGCTGCACTGCAGTTCCTTATCTGTATGAATATTTATACCTTGCTGCATCACAGGAATGTGGAAACACAGCATGATCTTGGGTTGGAATGTCCTATAAACTAGAAATGACAAGTCCTCACGACTGGTAAGAGTGTTACAGGCAAATAGGTTGATGCTGTTAAAGAAAACGTGGCTTTGGATGTTTATGTAAATGGAGTTGAAGAGCTTACCAGGCCTGTACTGCTCCATGATGTGATGACTGAGAATGCGTGCTCCTCCACCACATCTGGTAACCACTGCTTATTGTGAAGCTCACAAGACACAATGCCAGGCCAAAGCTCTTCTGAGAGAAGTATGCACAGTAGATTAGGGGTTGGGTTTTTTTTGCTACTCTGATTTCTGTCTCAGTCTGGGGAACGGGGTAAACCAATGTAGGGAGCTGGTGTGGCTCCTCCCGCGGGTTCAGTTGAAGCTCTCTGCATCAGCTGACTGCAAGGTAGAGTTGCAATTGTTGGCTTCTGAAGTAATTTCAGTGGATTGTGTCTGGCCTGTCTCCCAAGCAAGAGGCTGATGTTTTGAAAGAGCTCAGCCATGTGAGCATTACAGGCCCGGTGTGTTTTACCCTTTCAGCTTTGTAATGCCCCAATGAGCTGCACCCTCAGAGGGGCTGCGCTTGGTTAGACAGTGCAGGATGGGCTGGGAGACACAGAGCTGGCTTTCTGCCACCAGTCTGCCCTCTTGATCCAAGGGCTGCTGTAAATGGCACCAATTTGTCCTGCCTTTGAGCATTATGTTATTAACAATCTTTAGCCACACCTCTAACCATATGCCAGAGGGAATGGTGTTGGCGTAACCTAGACAAAGGACTACAACAGGTTTCTTAAAGCGGTTAGTCCCTAGTTGAACATTCATTGATGATCTTCAGGGCCAAGATCTGCTTCTCCATTACTTCATGCCTGGAATGGGATCATTGCCACAGAGGTGCCACAAAGATGGGTGAGTTTGGAGGAAAGAAAAAAACATTGCCTGTTATGCCACTGAAGCTTTCTCTTGCTTTTCTGCAGGCACCGCCTAGGATCCTTAGACCTCGCTTCAGGAAGAAAAGTACCTCATCCTCTGCCACTGAAACAATGTGAGTGCAATGAGCCAATAGCACCAAGATCCATAGAATGTCTCTCTTCTGCCTTAAAGAGCTACTCGTTAATAACGTAGGAAACAGCAGTGGGATGGATGTGCTTTGATGTACAGCATTGTAGACATGGTCTTTCTCTCTCCTCTCTCCGTATCCTTCTGTTACACGCTTCTCACGTGTGTCCGTGACGTGGGTAGGACAGTCTGGCAGACACCTGCAGGTTAAGAGTCCTTGTTTGGTTTGCAGAGTGTACACCCGCTCACACAAATCCTGTAAGGCTGTACATTGTACGTTGCCAGTTCTCATTTGTGTCTGCATAGCTCTAGCTCCGTGAATGCACAGCGGAAACAAAAGTCATCAGTTGCTCATGATGATACGTTGACAGTGTATTTATTTCTGGCTTTATCATTAATGAAGTGGATTTGCAGAAGCCATGGATTTCTCTTCCCTCCCTTCCTCCTCAAGATTGCGAATGAGGTAACTAATGTCAAAGTACTTTGACTGTACAAAATGTCCAAGATTCATTCAGAGCTGCAACTCTGTTTCTGCGAGTAAATCACGTGTATTCTGAGAAAATCATTGGCCTAAAAACCACGGAGACAGAACCACTTACAGAGGATGAGGAAGAGATGTGCAAGAGCAAATAAATGGTTTCAACGATGTAATGAAGGGGGAGTCTTAATTTTGATCAGCCTGAGCCAGGAGAGTATTGTGTGGAAAAGATGGTGGCTAGAAGAACTAGATCCTATCTCTTGTGGCAAATGTTCTACTGCCAGTTTTAAAGCATGAGGGAGCCTGGCCTGTGCTAGCTGAGGCAACAGCAGTTAGAATCGCTTTCGTGACGTGCTTCCAGGGGACGACACACCTTTCTCCCCTGCCTGCAAGCGTCAGTCCCAGCGCTCTGCTCTCCTGGTGAGGTGCTGCTGTCGTACTTGCACCAGCAGAGCAGAGTGTTGGGACTGAGCTGCTTTTTTGAAGCCTGGAGTTTTCACCTGTAGCATGGAGTTTGGTTAGAACCACAAGATCCAGGTGGAGTGGTGTATTTGTATCCATATATAAATGAGAAATGTAAAAGAAGAGGAAGGCGCGGTAGGGTTTGTGTATTTGTGCTTCAAGTTGGTGTCTCTTGTAAGTGTTGAGCATGTGAGATTCACACATAAGTTAATTACGTGGCCCTTTGTGTTTGCTCTTGGACCTGTCACATAGACTAGAAAAACATGTAGCGTTACGTAGAACGTGCCGTGGCTGACGGGTCAGTACACAGGCTGGATGATGAACAGCACTGTGGATCTAGTTTGGGTGCAGCAGTCCAGGTTGCCAACAGCCGGCTGGAGTGTATCAGGCTCAGAGATAAATCTGAAGTGGCCTTTGAAACCTTTTCTCTGCCGGATATGCATCGATATCCCACCTGTCCCTGTCTGATGGATCCCTGAGGTTTCCCCCAGAGCTTCCTACACATGTGGGGAAGAGAGAAGTAAATTATGCGCACGCACAAATGTTTATCTGACCCGGCTAGGCAGTGGAAAAAGCAAGCAGGTATTTCCTGTGTCTGCCACAATATTTGGCATCATTACCTGTGAATTTTATTTCCTTTACATGTGCTAATTCAATCATATTTTTCAAAGGGTAAGAAGGAAAAAGTCTTCAGAAAGTAAAATTTAAAAAACCCAACAAACCTGTCTGAATAGTGTTACAGAAGAGTCAGTCCCTGGAAGATAGTCGGCAAAAGCTTTGAGGAGCTAAGCTTGTGTGTTTTATTTTTAAGCAGCTTTAGAGTTTATTTGATTTCTTTTGGCAAACATTAAAAAGAAATAGAAAAACTGCCTGCAGTGTTAGCAGCAAATAAAATCCTGTTGCAAGCAAGCTGTGTTTCCCTGCTCTGCAGTGGGCTGCCCTAGGATGAAAAAGAAGCTGACAAGTTTGCACTCAATTATGCCAAAAAAAACCCAATAACATAGAGCTACATAACGTCTGACAAATTCTGTTCTCAGACACACTGTATTAACATTGATCCTCACTGAAATTATTAAGTGTGCGTCTAATCTGCTGTTTTACTGTAAACCTGACTGTTTAGCATTTCTTAAGTGCTGAGGTGAAATTGTTGACAAGGGAGTTGCCTTATATCTCTCAAAACATTCACTGTATAAATGAGAAAAATAAACCTTTTCATATCTCTGGCAAAAATCTATTAATTTATCAAGTGAGCTGTATATTTGTGTATAGGTAGACGAGAAATGTGAATGCCTAACCGCGTACGCTTAGTGCTGTCGTGTTCTGTATACAGAAGAGAACAGTCATTTGCTTTTGGTTCCTCATTTTCCACACACACAAGTTGTTTACAGGTGTTGCCCCAAGTCTGTCATTTCACTCTTTGGCTAATTTCATTCAGAATAAACCCCAGCCATGAAGGGTTTTTGTTCCAGTTTGTCTCTTGAGCCTCTGCCAAGGAACAAGCTGGATTCCACGAGTCGCTTTCCTGTGCTGATCCTGACCCCTCCTGGCAAACGGGAGTTTGTAGGATTTGAGCAGAGAGGACACATGGATGGATGGTGGCTCCTTGGGTGTGTGTTGATGGGGAGCGGTTCTCAGCTTTCTCCCAGCTCAGGCTCTGAGGGGTGCAAGGCACTTGCAGGTTACTCCTAAAAGCAAGCAGTCTTTCAGCTGATGGTTTAAAATAGCAACGGATCTGGCTTAAGTAAGAAAACCCCGGTTATGGGGGCTTTGCAGGCAGCTGGCCTCTGCCATCGCTCCTTTAGGGCAGGCAGGCACCTCCTGATTTCTCAGAGATGGCCTGGACAGTGTAATCCTGAAAGAAACAGGCCAGCCCCAGAAAATACAGCCTTTAACCAGCACAAGGCTCGAGTGAAACATGCATTATTTTAAGCAAGTAAAATTGAGGCTGAAAGGAAGGAAACCGCAGCTGAAGACGGTCCATGGAAAACAGGCCTGTGAAATACCTCACCCATTTACCATAAAATCACCTCAGTTAGGCGGAGAATAAGCTGAGAGCAGCTCGGCGCAGCCCTCCCCGCCTCCCTTCCTGCCACAGGGGCCAGCGTCAGCGCAGTGACGGCCGTCGCCAACTGCTGAATCAGGATGACATCCAATATCGACAAGACAGACTTCATGTGTGTCACTGTCACCTCAGAATTAACCCCACACCCATCTAAATTGTCTAAGTAAGTGCAAACCCAGCGCAGAAGGAGAGGAGAATGGGGTTATTTATCCCCATCGAGAGGGAGAAAGCTGCTTGGAGAGCTGTGATGCTCCTTAGCCTCAGTAAACAACCTGCTGCCTCTGGCTGCTCTCGGAAGCGTCCTCGCGTCGTGGTGAAACCCCTGTACTTGTGACCGATGCTCGTTACCCACAGTCTCCTTTTTGCTCTTTGTTTCGGGTACCTGTCTTGCCATCTAGCACCACATTTGAAATAGCAGCAAACACTACGCTGGGAATATTTAAGAATCATTAATTGTGCACTTCACGTGATTTCTTTCCTGTGATGGGTAGAAAAAGAGCTGTGATGCAATGGTACACTTAACGCCTCACAAGGATGGTTATTACAACAGTATTCCAAAGGTTGATGTTTTGCTGGTTTTGTTACACTGCTTGATATACATCCTGAATAAAGTCTTAATCTTTTCTTTAAAAAAAAAAGAGAAAAAAAGAAGAAAAAAAGAAGAAAACATCTTTAGTCTGTTCAATGTATCTGGCAGGCCAGAATAATTACTTTGATGGCTGTATTATTTTTATCTCAATTCTGGCTGACTGTATATAGATGTATTCACCAAGTGCTGCATGTCCTTCAGAATTTCTTTCTGTATTATGAACTGGAAAAAAAAAAAAATACAGCTACTGAACACTCTGAGTAATTAGTGAATTCATTGAAATGCTACAGCCTTGCACAGCAAACCAGCTCTTGCTATAGGGGTGGCTCTGGAGCTGATAACCAGGGACTGACTATCTGCTTAATAATGGGTTAATTATTAGTGAATGTTTTGAAGCAACTGCAATTGTTTTTCACACACTTACTGGAGTGTCAGCTTTGTAGAGAAAACCCCCAGTCTAGCCCTTAGCCAGAGTCAAGTTGCACTGTACACTCTCAAAGGACCCTGTAATAAATCCTTGGTTTTATTCAACATATACATGTGATGACATTATATTACAGATATACATCTGGGCCCCACAGTTCAAGGAGGACAGGGAACTGCTGGAGAGAGTCCAGCACAGAGCCACCAAGATGATGAAGGGAGTGGAGCATCTCCCTTATGAGGAAAGGCTGAGGGAGCTGAGGCTCTTTAGCTTGGAGAAGAGGAGACTGAGGGGAGACCTCATTAATGTTTACAAATATGTAAAGGGTGAATGTCATGAGGATGGAGCCAGGCTCTTCTCAGTGATGCCCAATGGTAGGACAAGGGGCAATGGGTGTGAGCTGGAACACAGGAGGTTCTGCTTCATCTTGAGAAGAAACTTCTTTACAGTGAGGGTGACAGAGCACTGGGACAGGCTGCCCAGGGAGGGGGTGGAGTCTCCTTCTCTGGAGACATTCAAGACCCGCCTGGACACCTTCCTGTGTGATCTCATTTAGGTTCCTGCTCTGGCAGGGGGATTGGACTGGATGATCTTACGAGGTCCCTTCCAATCCCTGACATTCTGTGATAAGGGAGATGCAGTGTGAGGTATAATGAAGCTCAAGGAAAGAACAAAAAAACAAACAAGAAAAGACTCAGACCTGACTGCCTGAGGATGTGATGTGGAACCCAATGAATATATTCTACTACTGAAAAACCAACACAGGATACAAAATCCAATTCCTGTAATGAATACGTTTTTAAATCAGTTATAAAAATTGCCCATAGCCATGAAACACTTTTTTTTCCCCCCCTATGCTCTCTAGCACGGAGAGATGGCAACACTTAATCTGGTGCTGTGACAGGCAACAGTACTGAAACGGACCCTGCTCTCCTTTCACCTCTTCCCCAGGGAAGACTCCACCCCATGCACTACCGAGTATGGACACAGTGAAATATATCCTGGGGTTATTTGAACAGGTTTCTCTTAAAAAATTTAAGATTAAACATGTCGAATTGTTCACTTCTAGTGATGTTTAGACTGTATTGATCCACGTTACACACAATCACAGGAAACCAACAGACGTCAGAACGTGTAGGTGACCAGCTTGACCCCTGCTAAGTAAAATACAAATTGCAGCTCAGGATAATATTGAATATTCCTTTATTTTAGGCATTGATACCCATAATTCTGATCAGATGATGTCCGTGTTTATTTATAAAAGTAGCAGATATTACAGATTTATGTTCTAAAATGTACATACCACACGTACCACCACCTCCTTCCTAGAGAGATGCAAAAATGAAACGAAGATTTCTACACACGAAGATTCGTACGATCGTGATACTTCTGGTAGGGATCATCAGCATACCAATTTCTTCTTTTCCAGAAAGAAGTGGTCATTTTATCAAGGAGTTTACATTGTGTCCTGTTGCACAACACCAGCTGT